AGAATGCTTTGAGATGATTCATTGTGATTTGTGGGGGCCATATCGAACACAGAGCGTGTGTGGATCCTCTTATTTTTTAACTATCGTGGATGATTATTCTAGAGCTGTGTGGGTTTTTCTTCTTGCTGATAAAACACAAGTTCAGAAAACAATGGTAGATTTCTTTGCTCTCATTCAGCGTCAGTTTGAGAAACATGTAAAAATCGTGCGAAGTGATAATGGTAGTGAATTCATGGGTATGAAGGAGTATTTTCGTACATCAGGGATAATTCATCAAACTTCGTGTGTGGGAACTCCTCAACAAAATGGTAGAGTAGAGCGAAAACATCAACATATATTGAATGTCGCACGAGCGTTGAGGTTTCAGACAAATTTACCAATAGAACTTTGGAGTTATTGTGCTTTGAGTGCTGCGTATCTAATCAATCGTACGCCTTCTGTTGTTACACAATGGTAAGAGTCCTTATGAAATCATCTTTGGAAAAGCTCCTGCTTATAGTGAGATACGAGTTTTTGGATGTTTAGCGTATGCTCACAATTAGAAACGTCATGGAGATAAATTTGCGAGTAGAAGCAGAAAATGTGTATTTTTGGGATACCCTTATGCAAAGAAGGGATGGAACTTATTTGACTTGGAGACACATGAAATCTTTGTTTCTCGGGATGTCACTTTTATTGAGGAACGATTCCCATATTTGGAGCTAAAAAATGCACAGGTGGATGAGCCTTCTAATTCTAATCAAATGAAGTTATATGTGGATGATAATGTTGGATTTGACGATATAGAACCTGCCTTGACAAGTGAAATTATACAACCTCTCACAAGAGATACAATGGCACAGACTCAGGTTGTGTCAGACAAGGTTGCAGAAGAAGAAAGACAGACTATAGGAAACGAAATACGCGATATCTTAGGAATTACAGCGCCACAAACTGAACCTGCATCGGTTACACAGTCTGAGATTGTGCAACCTGCTTTAGTGACAGAACCTGCATCGGTTACACAGTCTGAGAATGTGCAGCCTGCTTTAGTAACAGAACCTGCATCGGTGACACAGGCTGAAACTGTGCAACAGCCTGCATCAACAGAAACTTTGGGACGAGGAATGAGAAAGAAAGAATCTTCTGTCAAGCTACGCGACTATGTGTGCAATACGACATTTACAATGAATACTTCCACTGTGAGTCAGGAGTTGAGTAATGATTATGGTATTGAGAATTATGTGAATTGTGAAAGGTTCTCTGTGTCACACTAGGCATTTCTGTGTAGTATAACTGAAGGAGTTGTGCCGAAAAGTTTTGCTGAAGCCATGAAGGATCCGCGATGGAGAGAAGCTATGAGACTCGAGATTGAGGCCCAAGAACGAAATCAAACATGGTTGATTGAACAATTACCACCAGGTAAGCATGTGATTGAGTGTAAATGGGTTTATACAATCAAGTATAATGCAGATGGCTCCATTGAAAGGTATAAGGCACGACTCGTGGCATATGGCAATCGTCAAAAAGAAGGGATTGATTATTCTGATACATTTGCTACTGTAGCAAAGATGAGCACAGTTCGATTGGTTCTTCAAGTTGCCGCTGGGAAAAATTGGGAGCTACATCAGATGGATGTGCACAATGCGTTTCTTCATGGAGATTTGGATGAAGAGGTCTTTATGAGGGTACCTCAGGGTTTTGGTGCTTCTAAGAAGGGTATGGTTTGCCGTTTGCGCAAGTCGCTGTATGGTTTGAAACAAGCTCCACGATGTTGGTTCGCGAAACTTTCGAAGGCACTTTTGGGGTACGGTTTTACACAGAGTAAGGCTGATTACTCTCTTTTCTCATTAGTTCGTGATAAAGTTCACTTGCACGTTCTAGTGTATGTGGATGATCTTGTGGTGACAGGAAGCTCTCCTGAGGTGATACAAAAGTTTAAAACATATTTAAGCAATTGCTTTCATATGAAGGATCTAGGAAAATTGAAATATTTTCTTGGATTGGAAGTTGCAAGAAATGCAGAGGGTATATACTTATCACAGAGAAAGTATGCTCTGGATATTATTGCTGATGTCAGTTTGCTTGGTGGTAGGCCTGTAGAGTTTCCGATGGAGCAAAATCATCAGTTGGGAAAGTCGACGACAAAGATTTTGACTGATCCAGAGAAGTAGCGGAGACTGGTTGGAAGGTTGATTTACTTGGCTGCGACTAGACCAGATCTTGCCTACTCAGTTCACATCTTATCTCAATTTATGAATGAGCCTAGAGAAGATCATTGAATGGCTGCATTGAGAGTTGTTCGTTACTTGAAAGGGTGCCCGGGAATAGGAATTTTGTTGAAATCTGATTGTAATTTTCATCTTACAGCTTGGTGTGATTCAGATTGGGCTGGATGTCCAATCACGAGGAGATCTTTGAGTGGATGGTTGATACAATTGGGAAATTCTCCTGTGTCATGGAAGTCAAAGAAGCAAGATGTTGTATCATGCTCTTCAACTGAAGCAGAGTATCGAGCTATGGTTTTTGCATTGAAGGAGTTGAAGTGGTTAAAGAGTGTGTTGTTAACGATGGGTATTGCACATTCTGGTCCAATGGATTTATATTGTGACAGCCAGTCTACGCTTCATATTGCAGCTAATCCTGTGTTTCATGAGAGAACGAAGCATGTGGAGATTGATTGTCATTTCATTCGAGACGATATACAGGCTGGAATTGTTCAGACCCAACATGTTTCTACTACTCAACAGTTGGCGGATATCTTCACTAAAACACTTGGAGGACGTCCGTTCAAAGGAATTTTGTGCAAGTTGGGCATTCGAGATCTCCATGCTCCAATTTGAGGGGGGGTATTAAGAGATATTAGGTTTATTGGGCCTTGTATAGTTAGTTATTAGAATTATTAGAGTAATTTGTCCCATATTGCTAGTTTCTAACTTAAGGTTGACCAATGTATTTGTATATATATGTGCCTTTAGGCTGATGAATAAATTACTTCCGAAAATTACTTTGACAGTATCAAAAGAGTATTCTTTATTTTGCTTGATGGTTACATAGTGGTATCACTACGTTTTTGCTCAAGTCATTCACTTTTCTTCCAATGCTAGCTTACTGCATTTATGTGTCAACCGGAGAGAATCAATACGTATTCTCTTTTCTTTTTATCATGTATGAATATACACGGGCAGAACGAAATAATACGTATCAATACGATAAAATACGTATTCTTATATATTTCTTAATTTCTTTTATATAAAATATCAATATAAACGGACCAAACGAAATAATATCCAAGTATATAGTGATAGATATTAGATAGTGAAATTAATTACATAAACCTATATATGATGAAAACCTTATGATAAATGGTCTAGCTCGGCAAAAAAATTACGTTTAGATCTATAATGAGTTCTACATTTTAAAAAATTATATATGCGCTTGGTGAAAGTCGGACATCGATCAGTTATTATTTATTAATATAGTTAAAAGTTGAAAACTGGCGATGATTAATGTTGTTATTTACATGGTTTATGGTTATCAAGTAATTATATGAATATACTTTGTTTTTGTTTTCCGGTCAAGACAAAACATGTGATGGTACGTATTATACGGCTATAAACAAAACTCGAATTTTGTGATTATACAAAGACTAAAAGTATGATGACTTGATGAGCATCAGAGCACATGTGTTGTAAATTTTATATATGCTTGACAGAAACATAAGATGGTGTCTTAAAAAAAAAAATCATAACAAAAAAAACAAGGTTAGAAGAGATTTTGGGATGAACTATATATAGAATGTAATTTTCCAAGAAAAAAGATTCATTAACAAAGACGGCATATATATAATAAAAACTAGATGTTTACATTGGAGGTTTCGTAAATCTCTTTTTTTTTTAACACTGATCTATTATTCTATTACAAATTATGAGAACTATTACATCGGTAATTTAACAACGGACAAGTATCCCGCCTGCAAATACGCCAAACGAATCTCCATGCATCACGTTGAAAACCTCCTGTAAGCTTGTCTCCATTAATCTGCAAATTAATAATAAATCGCACCTTCCGGGACTCGAAACCCAGATCTCTTGGTGTAGAAGCATTAAAGACCCATTAACCACAAGGCTAAAACCATCATTATCTGGGGTTCCAATCTGGATTTCTTACCTTTTTTAATTATTTAATTAATGTTTAAAGTCCAAATAGTATAAGAGTCAGCTCTTATTTGGGATCTTTAAGAACCAGTTCTTAAAAACAGGTGTTTCAAAATCATTCGCCAGACAATTTTCTCAACCATTTCTTCATTTCTTCTACCACTTTTCTCCGGCGAAATCATCGTGAAACCCCTTTGATTGTTACTCTTTCATTCATCTCATAAACTTCTATAATCTACTTCCAACAATGGCGTTCTCCTCTTGTCAAAAATTCTATCATTTTTCTATCTCCCAAGCCACAAGTCTAACTCACCTATTCCTCTCTCTCAATCTCGCTCCTCCTTCTTCCTTTATCCTTTGCTTTGCCTCACTCCGCCGTTCTCGCTTCCCAGACGTCAAGCTTCTGGACTCTCTCTGTAGGCAGCCCGAAAATTCCGCTGCTCTCCGCCTCTTCAATTTGGCCTCCAAGCATCCCAATTTCTCCTCTGATTCCGCTTCGTACTCCGCTGCTAAGTTTTTTTTTTTGTTTTTAAGAAACTCATTTAAAGGTTTACCAATAAACCATATAAAAATATTAGATTTCTTAATAAGATTTCTCACTCAAATTTATTAATAAAAAATTACTAAGAAACTTAATAGAGTTTTCACCGATAATGATGCTCTAAGGAAGCTTCCACAGGTTTCGTAAATCTCTCTCTCTCTATGATATTAAAGTATCGAAAAAGATGGATAGATCAAAGATAACTAAATTTACTCACTCACCAAAAGGATTTATATGATCTCACGTAAACATATGACTAAATTAAGCTTTTATACGTTCCATTCGAAATAATTGATGTCACTTGTGAGAAACAAATATGGCTGATGTACGGAGTGTTAGCATTATACCGAAGAAGGTTGCAACAACAATTCGCTGCGGCGAGAACAGTTGATAATCGGGAGGAGAGATATGAAGAGGATCACAGTTTTCCTAACCGCAACTGTTTTGATGCTCCTAGTGTGCTACCGTTGGGAATCTCCCATCCAGCCGCAGCTTCTCGGTTTTTCCGCGTTTACGTCGCTGCAGCCGATCCCGACCAAACAAGACTCTAACAAAACCAATCTCGTTAAGTAACATATATACATTCATCTACTACATAACATTTTTGGGATTCTCAAACGCAAATTGCGCGCGTTTATTTTTGAAGGGTCTAATTCTCAATTTGCGTTTCTTTTAGCTCATCTAAATTTGATATTTCGGCAGTATGAATCAAAACATAAGAGAAGTTTGGAAGATATCATGAGAGAAGCAGCGACAGAGGAGAAAACGGTTATAATAACTTTCTTAATCCGGGCCTGGGCTGAGCCAAACTCCATATTCGACTTGTTTATCGAAAGTTTTCACGTCGGCCAAGGGACTAAGCGGTTGCTCCGTCACCTTGTGGTGATATGTCTAGACGAGAAAGCCTACTCACGGTGCTTGAAAGTCTATCCCCACCGTTGCTACTTCTTGAAGACCGCCGGAGTTGATTTCTCCGGCCAGAAGAACTACATGACGCAAGATTATCTCAAATTGATGTGGCGTCGTATTGAGTTCTTGGGCTCTCTCTTGAAGCTCGGATATAGCTTCATCTCCACGGTATCTATCTATATATTTCACGTGAATATTTAGAAATTATTAACTTTTCAACTCAAAAATCATGAGTGGATGACTTTTTATTCTTTGAGGTTTTAACCATAGCGCTAATTAATTATGGTGAAATAAAACATAGGTCCAAATTGGTAGTCTTGAAATTTGATTAGATATATATTGTACCTATTTTTTTATGTTAATTGTTCTTGAAATTGGAAAATAGGACATGGATATAATGTGGCTTCGAGATCCATTTCCTCGTCTATTCTCAAAAGGAGATTTCCAAGTCTCTTGTGACAGCTACAATGGCAACTCTATGGACAAGAGAAACGTCGTCAACACCGGTTTCTATTTCGTCCAAGCCAACCAACGAACTGTCAAGTTCTACAATTACTGGTACGGTTCAAGGTCGAGATTCGGAGGCAAGAAAGATCAGGACGTGTTCAACAAGATCAAACACGACCGTTATATCACGAAAAAACTTGGGCTTACGATAAGGTTTCTCGATACGGTTTACTTCCGAGGATTCTGTCAAATGAGTCGTGAGATGAACAAAGTAATCACTATGCATGCCAATTGTTGTTTTGGTCTACAGAACAAGATTTTTGATTTGAGACAAGTGCTTGAGGATTGGAACGCTTACATATCTGCGGCTGGGACAGTCGATGGCCGGAAAATGAGATGGCGATCACCGGATCATTGCTGGGGAAGAGTGAAAAAAACTAAGAAGACAAGGGTTTAGTGATCGATGCAAGAAAAGATTACATCAATCTCTTTTTTTTTTTTTTATTGGAAGCTAAAGATTCCAAATGAAGCAAAAGTTAAGTCCTTGCAACAAAACCGATTTATACACTAAAATATAATATTGGACTATATATATGAAAATGCATCTTAAGGTTCTTGAAAAAATTGATTGACGAAAAAAAGTTCAAGAACAAATTAACATTCTCGATTGACTGCTGCTAATTAGATTGGATACAACTCAAGAAAAGTAGTAGAAGGAAAAAAAAAAGCTATCTATAAGAGTCTGAAGAAAACATTTATACCGGATGTTGAGCAAGAAACTGGCCTGGAACAAGGGCTAACTCGTCAAACTTTTGTTCCACAGTTGGTGGCAACTCCTTGTTAGCAAAATATATTTTGGCCCGAGAATCAAGCTTTATATTAATCTCATGGAAACGAGTAAACAAGAATAAATCTTTAAAAATGGAATCCATTTGATCAGGATTCTTTCTCAGATCTTCATTCAAATCTTTGGGGGGCTTCCATACCTGCGAACACGAAGCAACAACTTCTTTAAAAAAAGGGAACCACCTATCAGTGGGCTTTAGAAACTGATGAAAGTGAGGCTTTGTCATCCTAATAGTGTCAAGCTCCGTGAGCTTCATCCCTTTAGGGCGTACACACTCAGGGAGTACACAAAGTGCATTTGATACAACATTCAAACGTTGAGCTCGTCTGCCTGGATACTTAGAAGAGTAATGACGAAGCTTGCTACTATAAAATTCGTGATCAGGATCTAGAATGTTGAGAAAGTTGAATCTTGGATCATCCGCAGTACGGTTCATGACCGTGCTCTCAAACTCAGACCCGTTTTGGGCAACCAATAGAGCCGTTCTCTCGATAAGAGTATTAATTCTCACATGTGGAGGCGTGTCAAAGATCTCAAGACTCCTTAGATGATCCTCAGGCTCGAGAAAACCTTCATAATCAACACTATCATCATCCGGATCTCGGTTTTGATTCGGTGCACAGTATTCAGCGAGCTTGTGCTTGTAATAGGCGTGATGAGCATCTGTTGGATCCCTCAAAAAGTTGAATCTTGCATCTTTGGGCTCGATCTAACTCTCAAACTCCAACCCCTTCTTGGAAACTAAACTTGCCGCTTGCTCCACTATACGTCTAGTGAATTTATCCGCAGGTGGCTGAGTGATTTCGCTAGTCTTGTTTTGCCCCGAATGCAATTCATTAACCTCCATCGGACTGGACATTGTTTTTTTCGAAACTTTAAAATCAATATCAGGGTAATGACTAATTAGGGTTTCGGAGAGAGAGATCCGAAAAGCTAGCCCTAACGAACCACTTCGGGATTTGAACCTTTGGCAATCGACAAACCCTAGGCTAGCGAATTTATAAACCAAACCAAAACACCCAGTGTTCACCTTTTTTAATGGGTTTGTTGGGATTTTGTGATGATTTGTATAAAACTTTTCCCTCTCTTGATTAATTTTCTCTCTCTTCTCTCTTTGTATATGATCTTTGTTTCTAATACATTAAACGTTGAGCCTTGAACTTTATTTATAGAGTTGTGATTCTAAACAATAGTAAATTGCTATTTCCTATTGTTAGTAATTTCCATTCTATTTGTTTGTCTTTTCTTCATGATTTCCTTTAAGCTTAATTTCCTTTGTTGATTTAGTTTCTGTTTAAACAGTCTTTATATATAACAGGAGAGTTTTCTCATATAAGGTATCCACATCAGCAAAAAATAAAAATTAAAGTTAATAATTTAATTAATTCATGCATTTTAAAATAATAATTAATTTTCATTTAAATGAAAACAAGAACACTAAAACTAAAGTTAATAACTCAACTAATAGATAGACTTTTTATAATTATTATTTTTCATCAAATAGAAAAAGAGTAAAAATTTGGAAAAAAGAATGGAAAAAACGACGATGGTAAAAAAAAGAGTTAAAAAACAATAAAAAATAGTAAAAACAAATAGGAGAAAAAAGAAAAAATAAAATGTAAAGAAAATGAAGTAGATGAAGATGAAGTAGAAGATGAAAAATACGTACACAAGATTAGTAAGAATAAAAGACAAAGAGGATAAAAGAAGAAAACCTGGAATGAAAAAAAAAAAAAGGAAAAAGTCGAAGAATATAAAGAGGATAATGTTATAAACAAATGGACTTCTAGTAACCGGCCCATTAACCATCAGGTTAATGTTTCATGGCCCATTAGAGTTTCTGATACATTAGTTATGTAATGTATATATACACTGCTTATGGAAACAATAAGATAAGAGTTTTTCCCTTAATACGTTATCAGCACGAAGCTCAACTTCAAACGATCATATCTCTCAAAATACAAGGAGTTAGAAGGCGATCTACATATCATTTTGAAGCCCTGGAAGATAAGAATCTAGTGGTGAAAACCGCTCCTCAATCTGACACCAGACGCGCCCTCAAGACTCAAAACAATCGGCGCTGTCCCACTTTAGCGGGTGATTCTTTCCAAGCGGTGGTTCCTCCATTGTAGCAGCTGTTCGTCCTCCCTTCTGGCCATCATTCTCAGGAGTTTCCAGTAGATATCTGTGGTCTTTAGCTCCCAGATCATAAGCCGGTCAGAAATCCATTTGGCGAAAAGGTATTATCTAAAACTATAGATCCTAATCAAAGTTTTGGTTTTTTTTTTTTTGAAAACCCTAATATGGATCGGTTCTTTTCATGATTCTTCATCGTCTTTTTCGTTTTTAAAACCATAACCAAACCGATCCTCTTTCTTCTTGTCAAAACCCTAATTGGTTTTATTTTTCCTAATCGGCTTTATCATATAAAACCTAAACCCTAATGCTTTGTTCAAACCCTATACCGATCGGTCCTAGCATCATCTAAACCAAACACTAAAATTCCTTGCAACCGAAACCTAAATCTTTGCAAAACCCTAGATCTAAAATCGTTTTGGTTTGTCTATCGTTAAACCGAGATCGATCGGTTTAAATCCTAAACCGATCGGTTATTTATCTTAGATCCGATCCTTGAAAACCCTAAAACCGGTCCATGCAAGCTCCTAAATCCTAAACCAATCGACCCCTTAAACTCTAAACCAATCGATCCACCTAAACCGTTTATAAACCGATAAATTCTAATCCTAAATCGATAGGGTTTAAGTTTAAACCGATCGGTTTTTCCTAATAAAAATTAAACCCTAGCAAATCCGTTTAGTTTAATCCCTTAACCGATTAATAACCCTAATAACCGGTTTCCAAAATTAAATCTAATTTAACCGGTTTTGTTGTTTAATCGATCAATCCGATCGGTTTAAGCTTAATCGGTTAATTTCAAATTAGTTTCCAAAATCAATCTAAAAAAAAAAAAAAAAATTAATTTCAAATTAGTTTATCTATTAGAGCTAAATTTGGAAACTCTAGTAAACCGGCTAGGTTATAAACCCTAAGGTTCGATTTTAGAGTTCCCTTATATAGCAAGTTTCCTAAAATAGCACGTTTCCTGAAATGGAAAGTTTTTCCAAGAATACCTTAAATCCCCTATTCCAATGATCATAGTCTCATACTATTGATTATTTAACATAAATTATTATATGTTTCAGATGTCAAACATTCAGAAGGTCGAATATGAGGCACTCACTGTCTCCGGAGATAACTACCTCAAATGGGCCCTTGACACCAAGATCTACCTCAACTCAAAAAGTCTGGGTGAATGCATCAAAGATCCCAACACCGCGACTCAAACAGAACGGTACTCGGCGATATTTATTATCCGCCATCACCTCGCTGAGTCTCTCAAGCAACAATACCTCACTCTTGAGGATTCACTCGAACTTTGGGTGGCACTGAAAAAGCGATATGACCATCAGAAAACGGTCATACTGCCCCAAGCCAAGTTCGACTGGAAGAACCTACGGTTCGAAGATTTCAAATCCGTCGAAGAATTCAATTCCGAACTCTTTCGGATAGTTGCACTCATAAAACTATGTGGCGAGGAGGTCACTGATAAGGATATGCTAGAGAAAACATTCTCTACTTTTGGCACTCCCAATGTTGTTCTCCAACAACAATACCGTGCCATGAATCATAGCACCTATGAGGATTTGATATCTTGCTTACTGCTTGCTGAAAAGAACAATCAGCTTCTGTTGAGGAACAGTGCCATGCGGCCTCCAGGATCAGCCCCATTGCCAGAAGGAACCAGAAAAGAGTCCAACTTCGTCCAACGTAACAGATCCTCAGATCGTGGACGTGGACGTGGAAATGGACATGGACTGCGCGGCAGAAGACGCGGTAGACCGAACCAAGATAACCGACCTAACCTCAGTTTTGGTCGGGGTAAGGGTCGTGGTATCAACAAACCGACCCAAAGAGGCAGTTCATCTAGACCAACTCCTTGCTCAAGATGCGGAATGACTAATCATTGGGTCAAGATCTGCCGTACTCCCAAATATCTTGCTGAGCTCTACCAGAAGTATGGGAAAGATAATCATGAGGCTAACCTGGTTCATCAAGTCAATGAAGATGACTCAAAGGATGATAAGATTGATGGCATGGATTATGAGCTCTCCGACCTCCTTGATTGATCTCAAAAAATCTGAATTTGTTTTTCATTACTCCTTAAACCTTTATCTTTTGTTTTTTGGATTTATTGTCTTTACTTTGGATTTTTAAGACCTTTTGCTTTTACATTTTAATTTATGGAGTAATGTTTTATTTACATCTCATTTTTGCATGTTATTGAATTATAATTCTTGTTTAATAAAGATATGCAAGACAATATGGATATCATTGTGGATAGTGGATCGAGCCACACCATTCTAAAAGACAAGAATTACTTCATAAATTTAGTAATCAAAACCGCAAACATTAGCACTATAGCGGGTAGTTCGAGCCTAATAGAGGGCCATGGCCAAGCTAATGTGCTGTTATCAAATGGCACATATCTAGACATATCTGATGCCTTATACTCACCCAGTTCTAAGAGAAACCTATTGAGTTTCAAAGACATAAGATTGAATGGTTTCCATATCGAAACTCATGATGAAGGGAACAAAGAGTTTTTAATTATCACTAAAATGATAAATGGCCATAAACAAGTTTTTGAAACTATACCCGCCGTATCTACTGGCATTTACCATGCTAAAGTCAGTATGATTGAGGCTAATGCTGCTATCAAAGCACGGTTTTTAGATTACACTATTTGGCATGATCGCCTGGGTCATCCCGGTGCGAACATGATGCGTAAATTAGTCCAGAATTCTAAAGGGCACAGCCTTAAACCAAATGGTATTTTCCCTCAGCACCTCAAGTGCACAGCTTGCTCACAAGGGAAACTGATTACCCGACCTTCACCAGTCAAAGTGTCTAAAGAGACCTTGAACTTTCTGGAAAGAATCCAAGGAGACATATGTGGACCAATTCACCCACCTTGTGGGACATTCAGATATTTCATGGTCCTCATTGACGCATCGACCCGCTGGTTGCATGTCTGTCTGCTCTCTTCTAGGAACCAGGCTTTTGCTAGGTTATTGGCCTAAATCATCAGATTACGAGCCCATTTTCCAGACTTCCCATTAAAGACTATACGTCTTGATAATGCTGGTGAATTCACTTCCCAAGCGTTTAATGAATATTGTATGTCCATGGGGGTAAGTGTTGAACATCCCGTTCCACATGTCCATACACAAAATGGATTAGCTGAATCCTTCATTAAACGAATTCAATGGGTTGCTAGACCATTACTCATGAGGTCACAACTCCCGGTCTCAGCTTGGGGACACGCAGTCTTACATGCCGCTGAACTAATACGCATACGACCATCTAGTGAGCACAAATATTCACCATCCCAATTGCTAACGGGTCATGAGCCAGACGTCTCCCATATTAAAACATTTGGGTGTTCAGTCTATGTACCCATTGCACCACCACAGAGGACTAAAATGGGACCTCAAAGGAGGATGGGAATATATGTTGGTTTTGATTCTCCCACCATCATTAAATATCTCGATCCAACTACAGGAGATCTGTTTAAAGCCAGATATGCAGATTGCCGATTTGATGAATCGGTATATCCTAGATTAGGTGGTGAGACAGACAAGCTGGTAAAAGAACTTTCATGGAATCAAACATCCACACAATGGCAAGATCCTCGGACTCTAGAATGTGATTCAGAGGTCCAAAGAATTATACATTTACAAAAGCTAGCTAATCAATTGCCAGATTCCTTTGCTGACCCGAACAAAGTTACCAAATCGTACATACCAGCTTGTAATGCACCAGTACGAATAGATGTCCCCTCAGGGAAAAGTCAAGTTGCTACAGAGTCTGACGCACGTAAGAAACGTGGCAGACCACCAGGTTCCAAAGATAAGAATCCCCGGAAATCAAAGAAAGGTGCAATGATTGAAACCGGGATTCAAGAGAACACGGATACAGCCTCAGCTGATACTTACCCTATCGAACCATCTCAAGAGGTTTGGGACGCCAAAACTCAAGGTTCTGAAAGGATTGATAATAATGAGATCTCAATCAATTATATCATATTCGGTTCTCTATGGAACAGAAAAGATGTCGACATCAATGAAACTTTTGCATACAAGGTAGCACTTGAGATTGCGCACACGCAAGAGGATCTAGAACCCACGTCTATAATTGAGTGCACTCGTAGATCAGATTGGCTGAAATGGAAAGAAGCCATAAACGTGGAGTTGAATAGTTTAAAGAAACGGAATGTGTTTGGTCCGATCTTAAGGACAGCATTCGATGTTAAACCAGTGGGAAACAAATGGGTCTTTGTGCGTAAAAGAAACGAACTCGGCGAAGTCGTTAGATACAAGGCACGCCTTGTAGCACAAGGATTCTCACAGAGACCCGGAATCGATTATGAGGAGACTTATTCTCCAGTGGTGGATGCAACTACATTTCGATTCCTCATAAGTCTGGCCATAAGAGAAAACTTAGATTTGCGGTTAATGGATGTTGTAACCGCATATCTTTATGGACCACTGGACAGTGAAATCTATATGAGATTACCAGATGGTATTGAGCTCAAAGATAAACATGCATCTCGTGATAAACACTGCATTAGGCTGAACAAATCCTTATATGGACTGAAACAAAGCGGATGTATGTGGTATAACTGGTTAAGCGAATATCTCATCAGAGAAGGCTACGAAAACAATCCGATCAGTCCATGCATCTTCATCAGAAAATATCAAAACAAAGGATTTGTAATCATAGCAGTATACGTGGATGACTTGAACATCCTCGGAACATCTGGTGAAATCGCCCAAACAGTTGAATGCTTAAAAGCAGAGTTTGAAATGAAAGACCTAGGCAAAACTAAATTCTGTTTGGGATTACAACTTGAGTACGTCAATGACGGAATCCTTGTGCATCAATTGGCATACACTGAAAAGGTACTCAAGAGATTCAATATGGACCAGGCCCACCCATTGACCAGCCCAATGGTTGTGAGGAGCCTTGGATTGGATAGTGATCCATTCGGTCCAAAGAAGGACGATGAAGAAATCCTCGGTCCTGAAATGCCATACCTCAGTGCTATAGGAGCATTAATGTACTTGGCTAGTCACACTAGACCAGACATCTGCTTTGTCGTGAGCCTCTTAGCTCGCTTTAGTTCGTGTCCAACTCAAAGGCACTGGAACGGTATTAAGCACATCCTTAGATACCTTCAAGGTACTAAGGACTTGGGATTATTTTATTCTAACCATAACAAGGATGGTCTAGTTGGTTTTGCTGATGCAGGATATTTGTCAGATCCGCACTGTGCCCGGTCTCAAACCGGTTATGTTTTCACGCATGGAGGAACAGCCATATCTTGGAGATCCATGAAGCAGACTATTGCCGCTACCTCATCCAACCATGCGGAAATCTTGGCCATTCACGAAGCTAGTAGAGAGTGTGTTTGGTTGCGGTCCATGACTCAGCATATCCGATCAGATTGTGGTATGGACGAAGATAAGGAGCCTACGGTGATGTATGAAGACAATGCAGCTTGTATCGCTCAACTCAAGGACGGCTACATCAAAGGTGACCGGACGAAGCATATTCTGCCCAAATTCTTCTTCACTCATGAGCTACAGAAGGATGGTCAGGTCAAGGTTCAGCAAGTCCGATCAAGCGAAAATTCAGCCGATCTATTCACTAAATCATTACCGACTTCTACACTCCGGAAGCTCATTCATCAGATAGGAATGCGTAGACTTAGAGATCTACAGTGATGCCTAAACCAGGGGGAGTAATGCGTGTTGTACTCTTTTTCCTTCACCATGGTTTTTCCCACTGGGTTTTCCTGGTAAGGTTTTAATGAGGCAACGTTCCCCAGCGCATTATAGAGATCCCGGTTTTGTGACAGGCACGGTTACCTTGTCCAAGGGGGAGTGTTATAAACAAATGGACTTCTAGTAACCGGCCCATTAACCATCAGGTTAATGTCTCATGGCCCATTAGGGTTTCTGATACATTAGTTATGTAATGTATATATACACTGCTTATGGAAACAATAAGATAAGAGTTTTTCCCTTAATAGATAAATCAAAAGAAGTAGAAGTCGAAGATGATGGAGAGAAATATGAAAAAAAAAGATAAAGAAGAGGAGGAAAAAGAAGACTAAGCTAATAAAGAGAAATTTTGGAAATATAAGAATAAAAATGTTCAAGATGAGGAAAGAGGCCAGCAGACGAAGATGAAAAAATATAAGAATGTGAAGATGTAAAAAAAAGTTAAGAAAAACCAGAAAAAATAAAAAGATAAAAAAAGACAAATAAGATGAAATAGTTGTTTAATGATTCATACTAATATTTGTTTTAAAAAATAAAATTCTGCGCAACTCGCGGATAATAAATGTTGTTTCACTTAATTAAAAACAAAATAACGCTTGCCTTCCATGATTGTTGTCAATAAACATGCAAGACGATAATTTAGGCTTCATGGTTGTTTCATCCATGACATTTCGCATCTAATTTAGCCCTTCAAGACATGCATGCATCCATTGAAAAACTAAATACTTGAACAGTTTAACTGGTCCTCTTGCCCCAAAGTCCATACACCTATATTTGTCTTGTCTACCATAAATCATAGTCCTGGTCCTTTGTACTATTAATAGAAAACCTATATATAAGAATAGGGAAATTAATATAGTTATATATATATATATTTAAAGTAACAAATTTAAGATCTAAACATCTACATATCCTAAAAACAAAAACAAAACAAAACAAAATGAAAACTCTCTCAATCTTTCTATTTGTTCTTAGCATCTGCATGATTAGCCATGTATATGGACAATCAGTAGGTGCCGGATTCAATATCTCGAACGAACTTCAAAATAAGAAAAAACTTTGGTTTAGCTGTTACTCTGGAGACGACAGGATAACTCCAGGAACACTAGAACCCGGAGCAAGTTGGGGCAGAAATTTTAAGACTAACATTTGGGGGAATACACGGTTCATGTGTACGTTGAAACAAGGGCCTAACTATAGACATCATCAGAGCTTTACAGCATTTAAACATTTAAACAGGAAAGTTTTAAAGATGTTGGAAGCAGGTGGGATTGGAGAGCCAGAGAAAATGGCATTTATTTGAAAGTGTGGGGCGGTAAAGATTCAAGAAGCAAGGTCAATATGCATAAAAAGTATGATTGGATATATTAGTACTCTCCCCGTTCTAAAATAACTGATGTTTTAGAGGATTTTTTTCTTTCACAAATAAGTAATGTTCTCATTTATCAAAGCAAATTTAATTAATTATTATTATTTTTGACTTTTATATTCTACAAATTATTCTTTCATTGGTTGTATTATATTGAAAATGATAAAATTAAAGTTTTAGTATAGGAAGAAATAGAAATTAAATTCTTAATTTATGTGCCCAATGCAAAAACATCATTTAATTAAAAAATATGGAGTATTTGAGAATTAATACAAGTTTTCAGTTTCTTCATTATCACCTAAGAATCATTATTATACAATACTCCCTCTGTTTCACAAAGAGTATCATTTTAAAATTTTATTTTTGTTTCACAAAAAGTATATTTTTCTATTTTTAATGCAGAATTTTAAATAATATACCTTTTTAACTCTATTGATTTAATGTATTAGTTAGAAAAAAATTATTTAATAGGGGTCAAAGTAGTATTTTTAATAGTTTTCTTAATATGTGGAAAAAATATCAGAATGACATTTTTTATGAAAAAGAGATAGTATAATAACAACATGTGCGTAAGAATCATTATTGTCTTTTCTTTTCTTTTTTTAGTCAAATCATCTATAAGTATTCCCTTTGTTTTAATATATAAGTCGTTTTAGGATTGATTTTTTATTTCAAAGTATAAGTATTTTTTGGTTTCCAATGCAAAGATTTATAAAAAAATCCACTTTTATCCTTATACTTATAGCTAATTAATTAGTATAAAAATTAATATCGTATATTAATAAAAAAGTAAAATAGACAATTAAATTGTTTTCTTAATATGTGTGAAAAAATTTTAAACGAATTTTATTTTATAATATATAGAGTAGTATTTAAGGTTTTTCACACTGATTAAGAATTATTTATTTTTATTTTTTCTATACTAAAAACTTCATTTATTGTTCATTTAAATACAAATCAGCCAATAAAAAAAACCTGCAAATTATAAATAGTCAACAATAATTAAGTTTGCATTGTTTTGTGAGAACATCACTTATTTGAAAACAAAATAAAACCTTTTAAACTTCACTTATTTCAGAATGGATTATTACAAATTCCATACAACATAATTAGTAAAATATTGTTCAAAAAAGTATTGTTCAAAAAACATAATTAATTAAGTACTGTCTACGTAGGCTGGAATTATTATTCGGTATTCAAGATTTGATATGGGATATGCTCCGATCCGCTCCTAAAAATCTAGATATCTAAGAGGGTTGGATCTGGATCCGAATAGTAAAATCTAGTATCCGTCAAAATTGGATCCAAATCCAGATAGTTAAATTATAAGGTCCGGATATCCTTATCCGAATCTCTAACCTTTAAATATATTTAAAAAAATTATGATAGATTAAAATTTTTATTTATAAAATAAAATAAAATTAAATTAAAATATATATTTCTAATAAAAAGTATCCGGATATCCGCTCTGTTACAGGGCGTACAACATAGCCACATTATAATTGTGTAACATAATCAAAGAGAGAATAGTTTTCAGAGATCATACGTCCGAATTTCATGAGGACCACGTGAGGCCTGATACAACATCCTTCGCAACAAGTTTCTGTATGGATCACTCTCTCTTTTCTTTTCCTTTTGAAGTATGGAACGCATAGTTGTTCACTCGTATATTAAATCTTAAAAGAGAAAGTAAACAAAGAAAATTAAACCAAAAATTATCCTAAACCAAATTAAATCTAATCAAACCAAACCAAACCAATATAATATTTAAATAATGCCTATCTATATTCTCTAACTAGTTAATTTGTTTACGTCTCACGTGGGCTATATATATCTATCAAGTATAATTTTATAAATAAATAATTTAATATATATATATATATAGTTTTGTTTTAAGTTAGACGAATTTGAAATTTAAAAATAAGCTTTTGATTTTAACAAAAAGGTAAAACAATCTTTCTGAAGTATATAGATAAAAAATCAAAAATCCTAATCATATTTTGATATCATAATTAATGACATTTCATTAGACATATAGATTTCATTTCTTATTTTTTTTTTTTTTACTTTTTTCTTAGATTTTCTAAATTTTGGTTTTATAAAATTATAGGAATCAAAAACCCTATAAACATAAGAAATTATAAATACTATAATAATTAGCGATATTCTAGCATAAATTTCATTTTTTTTTGAAACAAAATTCTAAATTTTATTCCAATTTTTGTTTCTGTTAACATTTTAGTTAGATTTTTTCTAAATTTCAGAAACATAAGAAATGGTAAATTTCTAGTTTTTTGTGTTAAAAAAAATGTTTTTGTCTTTTCTTCTAAATTTCGGTTTAATATAAATTTTAAAACGGTTTGATTGACTACAGAATTAAGAATTAAACCATAATAATTTAGACCGTTTTATTTTTTTGTGTTTTTAAAAAATGGTTTTCTCTAATTTTTTCTAAATTTTGGTTTAATATAAATTTTAAAACGGTTTGATTGACTACAGAATTAAGTATTAAACCATAATAATTTAGATCGGTTTATTTTACGTGTTTTTTACACATCATCAAATAATAACCAATAAAAAAATGGCATGCAATTGTAAAATGGAGCTAAACGGTATATTTGCAGCCGAAACTCATTCTGGAGCTGACACGTAAGTGAAAAACTGTGAAACTCGCTGTGAGCGCGACACATCAGCAAATCACTACACAAATAAGTATATAGATTTTAGATAAAAAAAAAACAAAAAGTTCTTAAACATAAAGACAATGTCACATGAGAGTTTGGCTGCTAACAAAAATCCCCAAAAAAAAATGATGAGAGTTTAGGTTGGTTTCTAGAATGTACTTTTCCAAGAAGAATGATACGACAGTTATGTAATAAAAGCGAGATATTCATACGGGAGGTTTCGTAAATCACTCTGGATGATATTTAACTATCGAAAAAGATAGATTGATCAAAGATAACTGATTTTGACTCACTCACCAATAGGATATATATGATCTTCCGTAAATATATGACTTCATTAAGGTTAACACTTTACACGTTCCATGCGAAATAACAGATATTACTTGTGAGAAATATGCATGCATGGTTCATGTGCGGAGCGTTATCAATATTGAAGAAGAGGATCACAGTATTCCTGACCGCCACTGTTTTGATGTGCCTATTGTGCTACCATTGTGAATCTCCCTCCCATGCAGCCGCAACTTCTCGGTTTTGACAAGTTGAACAAATTAAGTAGAATAGACTTTTTTCTCTCCTCCTTTTTTTCTCCCGAGCTTTTTCAGATCTGGAATTTTTTCTTCTTGCAGACACCTTCAAACACTCTGATCTCCCTCTCCAGCGCGCGTGGTGGCACACCGTTGCCGGAGGAGGGACCTCCTCGCTCCCCTTTTTCGTTTGATATGTCTTTCAGCTTGGTGGTCGTTGGTTTGGGTGTGGCATCGTGGTGAAGCTTTTCCGGCGAGTGTCTCTTCTTCGACTGCGGCAGGAGCTCAGCGGCGTCGCTGGGGTCACGGTGGAGGAAGACGTCCTCCATGGGTTGTGCCTCTCTTCTGTCTGCCTGGACAGGTCTTCACTGCTTCTTCCTTTGCTCTATGACGATTTTCTGGACGGCTGCTCAGATTTCTTTTGAGGGCCTCCTCTGGCGGCGTACATTCTGTCCTTCTTGGTGTTTGGGTGGTAGACTTTTTCTTCTCTCTCCCCGATTATGGTCTCTCTCAAGCTTCGGTATTTCCGACGCGGTGGTGAGATAGCGCTTGCAGATCTGGCCTCCTCGGCTCCAGTGACGATGTTTAGAACCTTGAAGACGGGTTCGGTCTCCGTTTTGGTGTCTAGGTCGCCTTGTGTCTGGTGGCAAGCTTCAGAGTGGTGGCTCACACCTTTTTGGCGGGTGCGGCTCCACCAGTGGTGTGTTTCTGTGGTGGCTTTAGTCGGGTGGCTTGGCGGTAACTTTGATCGGCTTTGACGGTTTTTGCTTCGTTGCCGTCTTCGTCATCGGCGTGGCACGAGATCCCCAATGGTATCTGTTTCTCACAAATGTGTAATAGGCCCGTGTTAGTGTCTCAGAGCCTAGTTCATGTTGGCTCCGGATGTGGTCCGGTGTTGATGGTGGAGCAATGCTAGACGTGATTGTTGAGGCGTCGGTTTGTTGGTACAACTTGTTTGTAGCTGTGGGAGCTGGTTCCTGCAGACATTCGTTTTTGCGGGAATGGCGGTCCAAGGTGATGCTCCGAGTGCCTGCTCGGCCTCCTTTGTCAATGGTTGCAAGCTTGACCACTACGGAAATCGAAAATCCCGTTAATTCTCAGAGAAGCTGTAAGTGTCCTCTTATGAAGTTTGAGGGCTGGCCTCGGGTTGATGCTCGTGGCAACAATGATGAGAGTTCTAGTTCTTCGGAGCTACGGAAAAATGGGATGATCCACGTTTCGGCGTGTGATTGCTGCGTTCTCGTTTGGTATTGTTTCGGTTTTACTTTTTTAATATCTCGAGCCGTTTTTCTTAACCTTTCGTTGTGGTTTGCTACTTCTTTATCGTTGTTTTGTAGTTTTTGTTTAATCTGTTTTCTTTGTATTCTCTATTACTTCTGTCAAAAACGAAAATTGGTAATATAATCTTTAAATTTTACCAAAAAAAAAACTTCTCAATTTGTCTGCGTTTACGTCGCTGCTGATCCCGACCAAAAAAAGAGTCTAGCAAAACCAATCTCGTTAAGTAAATACATTCATTTATTACATATCTGCGTCTGAGGATTGGTTTAGCAAATGAAATGGCGATTACGGGAGAGAAGAGTGAAAAAGTCTAATAAGACCGATTTGTACACTCTAAAAGACTAATAAGACCGATGTGTACACTTCGTCAATACCGGTTTAGTGATGCACGAAAAGATTACATCAATCCCTTCTTTTTCTTTTTTTTTGAAAATTAATCCCTTCTTTTTTTATTGGAAGCTAAGTATTTCAAATGAAGCAAAATATATGTACTTGTAAGTTGTAACAAAACCGATTTATACACTCCAAAATATAGTGGACTGTATATCTATATACTTATTTGTGTAGTGATTTGTTTACGTGTCGCGCTCACAGCGACTTTCACTGCTTTTCGCTTACGTGTCAGCTCCAGAATGAGTTTCGGCCGCAAAAAGACCGTTTAACCCTATTTTCCAATTATGTGTCATTTTTTAATTAGTTCACATCAGATGATGTGTCAAAAAAAAACTTAAAACAAACCGGTCTAAATTATTATGGTTAAATTCTTAATTTCGTACTCAATTAAACCATTTTTAAAATAAGATCAAACCGAAATTTAGGCAAAAATATTAAAACATTTTTGTTTAAAAAAAATAAAAAATCGAAATTTACCATTTCTAATGTTTTCAAAAACGTTTTTCTAAAATAATATAAAAAAATTTACCATTTCTAATATTTTCTAAATAATCAAAAAATCTAACTAAAATGTTAACTAAAATTTAGTATAAATATAAGCCATTTTTCACTATTTCTCTCACAACTTTCACAATTGTTAAACATTTTCTTTCTTTTTCATTCAAAACGTTTTTAAATTTATATTAAACCAAAATTTAGAAAAAAATAGACAAAAACGTTTTTTTTAAACACAAAAAATCAAAAATTTACCATTTCTTATGTTTCCGAAATTTAGAAAAAATCTAACTAAAATATTAAAAGAAACAAAAATTGAAATAAAATTTAGAATGTCATTTCCAAAAAAAAAATTATGCTAGAATATCGCTAATTATTATAGTGTTTAAGATTTCTTATGTTTATAAGGTTTTCAATTTTTATAAAACTAAAATTTAGTAAAAATCTAAGAAAAAATTAAAAAAAAAAGAAATAAAATCTATATGTCTAATGAAATGTCATTAATTATGATATCTAGAGTAGAATTTTCAATTTCTTATCTTTATATTTCAGAAAGATTTTTTAACCCTTTTGTTAAAATCAAAAGCTTATTTGTGAATTTTGGATTCGTCTAACTTAGAATAAGATAAAAAAATTAATGTTCTTAAAATTATTTATTTATAAAATTACACTTGATAGATATATATAGTCTACGCGAGGCGTGAACAAGTTAACTAGTATATATATATAATAATGTGTCTTATTGAACAAATCGATTGACGAAAAAAAGTTCAAGAATTAACATTCTCCCGAGAGGATATCCGCACACATTACAAACATTTGGTTGGACAAAGTAAGAAAACACATTAAGATAACTGAGATTAAAATTTTGAAGCTTTATAATGAAGAGAATCCTTTACCAAACAAAATGAAAAGTATTAGTACCTTTTTTTTTAAATACCATATTAGCATTTAATTTGATAATATTCTTATCTTTCAAATTTAAGTATGAAACCTAAAGTTAGTTTAAAACTTTTAACGTAATTATACTACTGTATATGTCAATCAATGCTAGTTTAATTATAGTATTAAATTTTCCATAACAATTACGACCGCCAGATTACAATACGTCAGTAAGGAATAAAATATTACATGCCCCTCTTTACAATTTGATTAACGTCAAATACTTTTAACATAATTAATCAATAAAGTTTCAGTCATTAATTTACGATATTAAGTTTTTCCTTTTTCAGTAACAGTATCTTTCAATAATTTATTTTATCTTCAACAAAACAATTAGTATTCAATCTAATTTATAAACTCTCAAGCATGTTTGGACACATTTCTGTGTTTTTATATAGTTTACTATCTAGCACAGATTTTTTTCCTTGTCTAGTCTTTTAACAAGAATTGAACATTTGTTTCCATTTGACATATTTAACTTTTTATACTCATACATTTTGTTTTATTTAAGTATACTGCATATATATAAAAATATATTGCCTTCATTCATGAGCTATTCATAAAATTTGGCGTCAATGCCGCAACTGTTGCGGCGGAGCGATAAGGTGACGCTCGCCAGTTTCTTGGTCGTCGCCGGTTTCTTGGTCTACCAAATTTGTGTTCAACCACTACCACAGTTTTTCCGCTTCTCCGATGTCGTTAGTATCCTATTCATCTATGGATATTGTATATGTATTCTATTTAATATTTGAATCCATTTTAACCAGAGAATATCCGCCTTTTCTTTAAATATAATAGAAGGATATTGTTATACAGCAGGGAAACTTAGAAAGAAAATGTAGAAACTTCTTTTATCATGGTACTCTTCCTTTTAGAAAATGCTATTGAATATATTCAAATGAATGAAAACAAAGATTACTTCCATGATATAAATTTCTCTCAGAGACTATTTTTTCGTAAAAAACTTTTGTTTAATATTGTTTGACAGCATCACCAAGAAGATGTGAGAAAATTGGGGAGGATCCTGAGGGAAGCAGCAACGGAGGATAAGACAGTCATAATAACCACCTTAAACCGGGCTTGGTCTGAACCAAACTCAACGTTTGATTTGTTTCTTGAGAGTTTTCATGTTGGAAAAGGGACTAAGCCATTGCTCCGACACCTTGTGGTGGCATGTCTCGACCCGGAGGCCTACTCTAGATGCTTGGAGGTCCATCCTCGGCTCTGTTACTTCATGAAAACCGAAGAAATTGACTTCTCCGACGATAAAATGTTCATGACGCCAGACTATCTCAAGATGATGTGGCGTCGTATAGAGTTTTTGGGTACTTTGTTAAAGCTCGGATATAACTTTATCTTCACGGTATCTATCTCTCTCCCTCTTTGTACGTACGTCGACGTTTCCATGTCCTTCATTTTTAATTTGTCAAGCTTTTTACATGTTGTTGACTTATTGGTTAGAAAATATTGATAAACTAACCTTAAAATCCAATAAGCAGGATTATAATAATTCACGGCTAATTGACTGTGGTCAATGCATAGTGGTTAGGGATATAGGGTTCGTATTCAATTTCAATCATTATTATTACATTTTACCGTTTTAAATGATAGATAATCATATTTTCTATAGGCATGGATATTAGTCTTGGTTTCGTCCTAGATTAATATTTCGTTTTATCTACTTTTTTTAAATAGTGATTCTTGTTGAAACCTATTTTACTAGGTTCTTCTGATCTTTCGATTAATTTAAATTTGGGGATAAGTAAAGAAGAATTAGTGAGTAGCAAGATGTTAGAATTTTATTATTACATCATATGATTTTATGTTTGATGTTTTTATTAATTAACGTATGGTTAATGAGTGTAGGATGTAGATATATTGTGGTTTCGAGATCCACTCCCTCGTCTATCTAAAGATGTTGATTTCCAAATCGCGTGTGACCGTTTTAATGGAGACGATAGAGACATCGAGAACGAGGTCAATGGTGGTTTCACTTTTGTTCAAGCGAATCCACGAACCATAGATTTTTACAACTATTGGTACACCTCGAGGCTGTGGTTTCCGGATAAACACGATAAGGACGTGTTCAATGAAATCAAAGGAGGCTGGTATATTGCAAAAATCGGACTAACAATGAGGTTTCTCGACACAATGTACTTCGGAGGATTTTGTGAGCCAGGTCGGGACATGGATAAGGTTTGCACAATGCATGCTAATTGTTGTGTGGGACAGGAGAATAAGATTAACGATTTGAGAGAAGTGCTTGTGGATTGGAGTAATTATTTGTATGCGGCGAAGAGATATGATGGTGAGGAAATGACATGGCGAGAGCCGGAGAACTGCATGAAGCAATGGTGGTGGAAAAAGAAAAAACCAGATATGTTGGGGTCAGATTATAGAAGAAAAACTATATAATTATATCTTAACTAGTATGTATTTTCCTTGTTATCTAATTAATTTTAATTAAAAAATATGTTTTTGTGATATTACATATTGGTTGGTCTATCTAAAAATTAATAATACACATTTTGATATACATGAAAATGTTTTAACTTAAATTAAGAGAAAAACTAAGTAAGCACAGAAATAACCAAAAAAAAAAGTAAACGACACCGTTAAATCAAAATGATGCACGTATGTATTGGGGATAAGATCACGATACATGGATAAAACTCGGTCAAAGTCGTCATAAAGAAGACCGATGAAATACTTGGAACTCAGAACTTGAGAAGTTGATTTTTGCCACTATACATGCAAGAGCATAAGATGCAACTAATCCTGCTACTACACTCACAACTAAGTTTTCTTGTAAAATGGGAAAATTTACAAAGATAGGCATTTTTTACATAACTACGTTTATAGTTTGATTAACAGTCTATCACCATTATGGTTAATGCCTGATTATTATGGTTTATAAAGTCAAGCTTTCAGATTTATCTCAAAGCTATAAGAGTTAAAGTTCTTTGACATTAGGATTAGTTTTACTTCTTCAAGACCTTCCGAGAAAATGTGGCAAGAAGATGAAATGGACGTTTGTAACCATAAAAGACATGTTACAATGAAAAATGACTTAAAACACACTCTAATAGACATCTACACTAAACTAAACCATGACATGTCTTATATATCTTCTTATGAAACTCCATGCATCAACCAGTCAAAATATTATAATATCAAACACACACAAAAAAAATTATGCAAATTAAAATTAATGAAAAAAGTAAGCTAAACTTATAATTGGGTAACTTTAAAATGACAAATAAACCACTCTTGGTGTTGTAGTATAAAACTTCTAATGCTGATTTTTTTTGTATTCTTCTCTAGTTATAAAATATTCTTTGTGTGCAAGAAGTCTAGGTACCGACTTCTACGTGGGGTGTCCCACTAAGTGAACATGACTTTTAGTGATCATTGATATCAGTTTCTTTTATTATTTGACTCAGATTGTAGACATCAACTATTTATCAGATCTCACCGACTGTTATCAAATAAAAATTAAATTTATACACTCCATGAGAAGAAAATTAATTTTGAAAACTTTGTTATTGTTTCTTTTTTTTTCTTCTGTTAAATGATACTCCTAACGCCTAAACGCTAAGCCATGAACCCCAAAGCCTTCTTTTTGTCAATCAGTATAGCCATTTAAATTCTGGTTTGAAGTTTGATATAAAAAGAAGTTTATTTGATACTTTAAATTTTGAAATTGATTGGGACAAATAAAAATAGTGTCATACTCCTTGAAAGACTTGAAATGATTATCGGAAATGGGGCGGATTAACTACATATATTTATGACCGCAGATAAAACTTTATTTAATAGTAATTGCAGTTGTAAGTTACAAAGCAAGTTTTTTTTATAACTAAATTTAGGCCGTATGCAGGATCACTGTATCAGACAATTCAACCCTTAAAATATATGTTCCAAAAAATCATCTTGGTCATTTGAAGTGTTTTTGGAGAGTTCACACATATAACATTCATTAGTGATTAGAATCCTTTTTATCATTTTTTTTTAATTACGGATTGTCTTCTCCCGTTTTTGAGTAAATCCAAGGTGTTTTCGCATATGGTGTCTTTATCCCAAGGCTTTGAACGCCTTGAACTCATCATTTCCATTTTAGTGGCAGATGATCTTTCTCAAGCTATCTCTGAAGAATTAAGGATAATCTCGGTAAAATCCGACTCCTTCCATTTGGTTGAGCCATCATCTAAGGTTTTTGTGACTTCGAACTTCGTGGTATTCTCGAGGATTCCACTCCTCACCAGAAGATTTGTTTTCACTTCTATCAAGTTTATCATAAGTTTATTTTATGTATTTGCTGCTTCCTTCAGAATAACTCTTTGTATGCGGTTCACGCATCTTTCGTTTCGTTTGATTAATCGAAGTAACTGGTTGCAAAAAAAAATACTAAATGAAATTTTTGTATTTAGTATATTATATTATGAAATTGGCTAATGTTTGTAATATAATAAATTCTAGTATTCATATTTTTACAAAACTATACTTAAATGCCGAGAGTCTTAATATTTTGGCTACTACAAAAAAGTCAGTAGTGGTTATAAAGAAAATTATACAATATAACATGTTTTTTAACTATGTTATATAATCAAATAGTTTGTATTAACTATTAAAGTTACTGGGTTATTACTGTTATTATCCGGATTTCAACTTAAACATTGGAAATATAAATAATATAAAATAAAAATCAATTTTTAATACGAATTATTCTGTTTAATTTTTAATCCTTCTCTTTTTTAGTTCTACCGTCTCAAAATAATCAATTTCACTATGTAACTGCAAATGTGACCATCATGGAGTTTCAAGAACTTTCTCAAAAAAGGAAGAAGGATAATATGATGATGGATCTTCTCTTTACAAAAGGAATATAGATTTCATTCTTTAATTTCCATGAACACATAAGGACACATAAGGTCATTTAAAATATACAAACTGATGAAAATATGACCTACCAGTTACAATGGAGTAAGGGTAATAATAAGAAACAGTAATAACAAATTTGAAACTACACCACCAAACCTTAATTAAAGAGGTCAATTAGCTTGGAACCATTCTCTATCTTCAAATTGTTGTTATACACAACTTCTTTTCTATAACATAATTCCAAAAAAGATTATTAATTGTTCTGATAATCAAAACAAAATACATATACAAATTAAACTAAACACATATATTTCGGTTTCAGTTTTTTTTTTTTTTTTGGGTAAAAGTAACAATATTTTACCAGACCCATCAAGCAAAAGGATACTCACCTATAGTAAAAAAGCTTCACGGACGAACATTTCACATCTCAGAGACCTGAACAAAAAACAGAGACTAAGTTAAAGAAAAAATGAGAAAATTGAATAAAAACAAAAGAAGGACGAATCTAGATCTAATAATTATGTACTCCATTCTACGCTATATAGAGGATACCATGACAGTAACATAATACACGTTTTTATGGCTTCAAACAATTGACAGCGACAAAAAAGACTCGGTTTTTGGAAACTGAGAACTTTATAGGAACTGCTAATATATAAAGCAATAGGACGAATCTTTTTTTTTTTTTGATAAAAATAGGACGAATCTTGAATAAAAGCAGTTCGTTATCAAAGTTAATATATCCCAATGGAAATATGTAAGGAGGTTAAAGAGTAACCTGAATTTGACGAAATCTATTTATTTCACCTTGTTGGCATTTGATTGCTCCAGAATGTCCTTTCCGATGAGAATCATAGTGAGATCAGTCTTCTGCGATTTTGAGAAATCTAAACATCAAAGGTTCCAACCATCAAACATAAGAATACACACATAAATATAGAGAGGTCGCAGGAAATTTTCAGAGTCGCAAAAAATTGATCAAAACATGAACTTAGTCATGTTATCGGCATGTTTGTTTTATTAAGTTTCTCATGCTTTCTCGCCATTTCCTAATTTACAAAAAAAAAAAAGCAATTTAAAACAAACATGCCGATAACATGAATAAGCTAAATAAAAGAGAAGACAACAATTAAACAATCAAAGCATGTATCTTCTTTTGCTCATCTTAATGATATATAGACTTCTTGTGCAGCAGCTATTTTAGAGATCATGACATCGATCAGGTGAAAGAAGAGATTAAGAGATATATAAAGAGAATAAGTACCATCTTTACTCGCGATAAACAGAATTGAGGTGACAACAGTGATGATCCCGAAATACATGGGATCTATTGAAGAACACAAAGCTCCTAAAACAATTTAGTTTACCAACCGAGGGTAAAAAGTTAAAACAATCAAACATAAAAATACACATATAGATATATGGAGAGATATGTGAGATAGTACATGTGGAATAAGAAGACAGTGGAAGATTCGTGAAGAGTTTTACCAAGAAGTTTTCATTTCAATCCATGGATCGTTCTTTAAACAACATCTGAAACATATAAAAATCCCACATTAGTATTCATGAAATCCACAAGATTCATTGGTAAAGAGAAAGCAATACAAATACAAAACTAAAAGGAAAAACTTATTATGGTAGTTCAATAGAATGATCGTTTTATATAATGAATTGAGAGAGGCTAAGCTTGTTGTGAAATCTTTCTTTTCTATATTGTGAAGATTCTTACGAAATCTTTGTAGAAAATAAAAAGAAGATCTTAGCCATAACCTTTTTTGGTTAGTAATTATCAAATAGAATGAGAGATATGAAATAAATAAAAAACGTTTTAATAGTGTATCAAATCATTCCTGAAATTACGGAATTCCTACAATATTGATCAGTTTATATAGGTGAAGATATACACAGTTCCTAAAATTGGATATTTGGTATTTTTTTTTTGAATTTAAAATCTTCCACTCAAAAGAAAATATACAAATGTTTCCATAGTTGATTTCAATTAACTTTGTTTATACCATTAATTAATGAGAAAACATTTTAAAGCATAAAAAACGTCTTAATCTATACCACTAACTAATTTTCTGATTATATAAAAATTTATTTACATTATATATATATATATATATATATAAATTCTAATGTCAATGTATTTTTTCACTATCAATGTATATATATATATATAGTTCTAAGAGTTAAACGATACGTAAAAAATATTTTTCATTTCATAAGATAAAATTTCTGATTCTTTTTGGAAATTCATTATATAGATAATTTGAAAAGTGTTGTTATGGATATATGATATTCTTGCTAAAATATAGGATAGTAAGATATTTAGTCATTAGTAATAGAATATATATCTAAAGTATCTAATAAACAATACATTGCGGCAAAGTTTTCAAATTGTATATTTCAAAATTTTCAATGTAATGTGAGGAGATTTACGTGAATAAAGAAGAGTCTATAATAAGTTCAGTTTACTTCAAATTCCTCTATGATAGTATTTATCAAAATGTACTTTGTATTTTTTTTAAATATACTTTATGCACTTTTATAATAATAATAATATTCCTAAATTGCAAAAAAATATGTATATAATTTTTTTTATAAATATATACGTTGAGTTTTTATTTTAAAATTGTAAGTTATGTATATATATATATTAATATAAGTACACACAAAGTCATTTGAATGTTGAATATACTTAATTTGTTAAGTTAATATAAATTCTCGCAATATAAATGTGTTACAAAATAATATATGGCGACAAATATGGAAGAAGTGATTTGTTATGAATTATTTATTATCTATTTTTTCATTAATAAGATATAAATATAATTGTTTTATTTTTTGCTGTTTCATTAAACATGATTCAATCAAAATTGTCTATGTAAGCAGTCTTGCCATGTTACATTTGACGTGGAATAAACATCAAGCAAAGGCGATTTTTTAAGCCAATCAAATTAAAACAAATCAGATTTTTTTCCTTAAACTACATTCTCATTTAGTATATAGGATAAAATAAATATTATTTTTTAAATGATTATCTAATCTTATATACAAAACTTCGCCAACTTTCTCCAGCTGCTTGCCACATCAGCATTGGAGAAAGCGCCACCTGTCTTTTTAAAATCTTAATGAAATAAACAATTAATTACATTTAAAGAAAAATATTTAATTAATCACATTTAAAGAAAAACATTAAAGCACATTAATAAATATTAATATGTATATGAACAAATTTATTTAAATAAATAAAATTCAAATTTATTTTAAATATACCAAAACTTAAAAATTATTCATTATTTTAAATTATTCAAGATTTTATAAATGCACCATTCTATTTCTTTTTTTCAAGTGACTTAAATTACATTTTCAAACTAAAAATATAATTAAATTTTTATGTAAGTGAAAAAAAAATTATGAGACTGAATAAGTTAAAAAGTTTTAAATAATCTTATATAAAAATCTAACAAATAAAATTATAAGACTAAATATTCTTTTTTTTTTGACATCATAAGACTAAATATTCAATAAACGATTAAAAAAATAAAAGTTATTAAAAAAAGTAATAGTAAAAAAAAAAGAGTAGATACATCAAAATGTCATACAAAGGTTTTTTTAAAAAAATTTAAAAATAGAATCAATAAAATATATATAACCAAAAAAACTCAAAATGGTAAATTTTTCTATGAGATATTACGTTTTTATACATAAATTAAAATAGTAGATCTTTAGTCTCTCATTACCATAATAGAAAAAAAAATCGTAATATTTGGCACAACTCATGTGGAAGAAATTACAAATAGTGTATCATCTAGAAGAAATAAAAAAAATATAAATATTTTAAACGGAAAAATGATGATAAAAATATAATTCAAAACAAATTCTAAAAAGATATTATTTAAAATATAAATTAAAACAAGATCCGCGCATATACGCAGGTTCTCTCCTAATATATATGATTTTAGGTGAACTCTCTCCATCATGCTGCCACATCAGCATCTGAATGGAGGACACCTGTCCTTTCATTTTAAAATAAAAAAATTAAAAACTAATTAATACCACTACTTCTAACTTAACTATTTTATTTAATGTTTATTTCATATGTATTTATGTTCATAACTATTAAGTTACATTAATATTAAAGCTTTTCACATTCCTAACAAAAATAAATAAACAACATTTCTAACTTTTTGGTATTCGTCTAAAACATTTTAATAATTTTTTATACTAATTTGATACTTTTCTTCCGGCTTATCCTCATCATAAACACTTTTTTCGAAGCTTGTTGTATGAAAAAATGTAAAGATGTAGCGTTATCTTCATTCAAAGATTTGGCGGTTTTTATGGGTCAAATATGATATTATTATAGCTGCATTTTATTGTGAAACATAAAGTATGAGGTGGTTCTTGCAGAATCAAGGCAATTGTACATGTCATAAATTTGAGAACATTAAAAATTGGAGGTAATTATATGTTTTCAAGCAATTCAACCAAAAAAATATGACTTTTATCTACGTCTTTTTTACTTATAACATGTTTATGATTTCTAGAATAATAGAATAATTTTCCTAATTATCATATTTCAAATCCTTAAAAAAGTTATTTGTTTTACAAAAAATTTATTTTTAAAAAACCTAATACTAAACAATCAAACAAATTATCATATTCTTATAATTAACTATATATATATATATATATATCAACACAAACATATTTTTTTAAATATTATGTGAAACAAAACCTGCGCGTATGCGCGGGTACAAGTCTAGTCTCCTTTATATAAAAGGAGCTGATTTCCTGCCTTCTTAGGGCCTCCACGTCAGCCAAAAAATACAGAAAAATAATCAGCCAATTAGAATATCAATCTCCTACACGTCACTTTTTAATCCTGTAAGCTAAAAAACTCCACGTCCACACCAAAGAAAGAGGAATACAGGTAAGCCCAATAACGAGCCCACAATAGATGGACAAACGAGCCCAAACCAAAAACATAAGAGGAATACAGCGAACCCCAATAACAAAGCCCACAACAGATTGAGAAACCAGCCCAAACCAAAAACCTAATTCATCTGCCTTCTTTGTCGTTCTGCGCATCCATAATCTCAAATTACAGAAAGAAAATCAACCCAGTAACGATTCCCCTCCCTCCCATTTGAAATTCAACAACTCCAGAAACGATTCCTCTCCCTCCCACAAACCACGATCTCCTATTGTAATTAACCACGATGTGGAATCTG